GTGGCTGCGGAAGCGGCGGTGGAGGCAGGGGCCTCGGGCAGCTCCCGGGTCCGGGCTGAGCAGCGTTGGAGGGGAGAGGCAAGAACAAACAACTTAAAATGGCAGCTGCGGCCACTGAGTCACCCGCCCCTGGCCGGCACCGCCCCATCCCTCTGCGGCTGCGCGGCGGCGGGGCCGTACCATCTACGTAAGAACGGCGGGGGGAGGGAGAGACCGGAAGGTGCGGGGTCACCGTGGTTATTAAATAGAAAGGAAAGAAAAGTCAGGAAAGAATCTACAAAAGGCTCTTCAAAGGCTATGCCTTTGCAGTGGAACTTTCCAAATAGCATGCCCGACTGAATGGGAAGTTTGCGAGCGGACACACCCCTCTTTCCAGCATGGACCCTTCCGTGGGGCGGGGAAAGGGCCTCTCCGCCCCTCCCCCTCCGCCCCTCAGTCAGGAAGTTCCGGTCCAAGGAGTTCGCGCATCCTCCGTTCCTCTAGTGATGTCACAAGCCAGGCCCTCTGCCCGCCTTCCAAGACCCGGATGGATTCGCTCCTTCCGGGGACGACTGCAGCCTGGGCTCAGGCTGTCACGAGACCTGCGGGGACGAGAGTCTGGGGAAGGCGAGGGTGCGCAGCGGAGTGTGGACAAGGACGGGGCGGAGCTAAGGGTGAAAGGGAAGTGGGTGGGTGGGTGGATTTGTAGGGGCTAAAAATAGTCTATCACCTGACTGTGGCTTTATTCCTGCACCACTGATGGACAGTCCTTCTGGGAGTCCCCTGGAGTATCTTGAATGGGCGAGCCATGAATTCAGTCCAAACACTTGATTTAGAATGTAAAAGACATGTTGCAAAAAATGTCTCTGGTTAGTCCTTTGGGCTGCCTAATTTTCTTCACGTGTCCGGTGGCGGTAAAGCAGTGGCATCATTAGAGTTAGTGTACCTCCGTGCCACAACCCATGGTGTCCACCCACCCCATCCCATGAACTTCCTCCCCTGAGACTGTACAGAATCCTTAGCAATATAACAGCTTTAGTTTAGTGGTCCTGTGATATAGTTGTAAATTGTTCGAATATGACAATTCCTAGATTCTATGACTACTAACAAAACATATCTTGTAAAACGTGTTTAATAATGAAACATCATTTGTTACAGCATTAGTATTAACTGAGTAATGACAGCTCTGACCAGAGAGCTCATTACAAAGTTAAAAAAGTCAATTAGGTTAGAGGGTTAGCTTTGTAGGTATATTAACCATTATAAGCTGGATTTATGAAAAATATTTTGTGGATAAACTACCTAAAGGGGTATTTTTAAATAAAAATAAATAAAATTTTACTGAAACAGCGTGAAGACTATAGACAGTCATTGTGGTGTGGTTCTCACCGGCCTCACTGCCACATTACACTTTGAATTAAAGATAGGCAGACAACTGTTCATTCAGCTTTTCTAGGCTCTGGAACAGTCACAGCCCCCAACCCATCTTGAGATAATGGGGACCTCTGAGAGGTGCCACTCATTGTTCCACAACTCTATGAGGAGAAAACAAAAGAAGTCTAAGTTGGTAAATCACCCAGGGGAAGTCCTGCAGTCCAAGGACCAGATTACAGCAGGGAATGCAGCTAAAAAGAACTGCCTGGGAGGCAAAGCTGCGATTTCCAACAAAAATCACTAGTTCTACTTTTCAGGTGTTACAGGTAGCAGGTATCAACACATGGGAGGGAGACAGTTGCTCCCAGTGTGAAATGATTCCCATTGAGTGGGTGTGTCGAAGGATAGCAACTGGTTCTTTTCTCAAAAGGAACCCTGGTGTCAAGGAAGGCTACAAGTTTTACCCACCCAAAGTGGAGATCTTTTTCAAGGATGAAGCCATTAATGATCCACAGTAGTCTGAGGAACAGGTAATTGCTCCCAAAGTTTGCTTTGCTGGACTTGAGATAGGCCACGCTGAAGTGGATCTCATGGATCAAGACACAGGCCATTTCTGAAATACTGGAGAAATCTTGGTTCTCCCAGGACTGTTCATGGGTGAACATGAAGATTGAATTTGGTGTTGATGTAACCACTGTATTAACTGTTCTTGCTGATATATTGGAAACAATTCCTAGAGACTCTGGCCATCAGGGAATCGAAGCCAACAGAAGGACAAACAGTCTCATCATGACCTCAAAGAAGTAACTCCTGAACGGCTGTAAATGTTGAGTGAGTTGCGGAAAGAGTAGCGCTGCTTCTGAAATCACAAAGTCAGGGCAGGGTGGTCGTATTGATGGGCTCGATCTCTGATCTCTGTCACTGAGAAAATCAAGGAGGCTTATGGTAACACCTGCCCATGAAACGCTGAGGATTAAAGCTGAGTATGAAAGGGATGGCATTCCTCCACCTTTGTGGCAGTAGCAGGCAGGCACAATGGTTTAGGACCAGTGCTATCTGGTAACACTGCATATCCAGTGGTATCTGTCCACACACATACACACACCCCACCAGACTAGGGGGCGTAGGGTGTGTGCTGAGTGCTCTCGGCTGTTTGACTGTACTTTCTCGAGAAGGATCAGCTCAATTTGCCATTCAAATCCTTGGCTTGAATAATCATTGGGTATGGGCCAAACTGAGGAAGTACCTTAAATACGTGGATTTCCTTGAAGCAGGCTGACAGAAGATCATAAAATGCAGTTTATGAGAAATTTGTAGTGTTTATTATATGATGAGTGTTTCTTATGAGAATTTCTAATTCAGCTACAGGGGAAAAATCATGTAAGATGAAAACATTTTAAGAAAAATGATTTTTTTTAAAAAAAAGACTACTGTTCAAAACATCTGTTGGTATCATGTGAAAAGGAATTTTTTATCTATTGCTTTTTAGAAGCAATTTGAAAAAAAAAAAGAAAATGCCATAAGTTGTGTTGTTTTGTTTTACTTTCATTTTCCTTACCTCCGCCTCCTACTGACATTTGCATCTTGACTATTTCCCAATTTCATTTTACGGCTCTCTCTTGATCCCAGATGTCACTTCTATAATTCCACACGCTAATATTAAAGATGTCTTTTAATGTGTTTATAGTTACTTGGCTCCTAGTGACCCCATAGGGCAGGATGGAACTGTGCTTGTGGGTTTCTGAGCCTGCAACTCTCTCTTGTTTGTCAGCAAGCTAACTTTATTCTACAGGCAATAGGGACTCCATGCAAATTTTAAAAATCACTTTCCCCCCTCTTCAAGCTGTTTTGTGCATTATAGAAAACTGAAAAGAGCAAAAAGCAAAGAACACAAAAGGCAACCAGTCATTTTGATGATTTGATCATTACAGTTTGACATGTTGTTCTACATCTTATGTATGTAAACAACGGAGCACACAATCGGCTGAGGTCACACAGTATGGATGGATGGGAGTAGGAAGCTTTAACTTTCTGCCCAGAGCGGCTGATGGTTTCCACCTGCTGACCTTGCAGTCAGCAGCGCCACATGCAACCCTCTACAGCATGAATGAGAATGACTGATGGCCGCACATTTGGGCTTGGAGAATGGTTATAGGAGCCCTGGTGGCACAATGGATTAAAGCACCGGAGAGCTAAGAGCAAGTTCAGTAGTTCGATCTGACCATTTGCTAAGTAGGAGAAAAGTGAAGCTGTTTAACCCCACAAAGATGTACAACCGTGGAAACCTTTTAGGGTGGTTCTACTCTGTCATTTAGGGACCCTCTGACTTGGGATCAACTCAATAGTAGTGGGTTAGGACAGTGGCAGTAGATAACTTATGGAATCTCTCCTGAGACTTTGTTAGCAATACATCACCACCACGAGAAATAAAATATAAAGGTTTTGCCCCATTTATTCTACCCTGCTCCTCCACAAGGGTTGGGTGATGGAAAGGGAATGGGAAAGATAATACATGTAGCAATGATTCGTGGCATCACAGCTTAAGGGTCCCAACTTAAACCCACTGCCACCAAGTCAATTCAGACAACTGGTGACCCTGTAGGACAGGGTAGAACTGCCCTGAGGGTTTCCGAGATAGTAACACTTAATGGAAGTTGGAAGCCTTGGCTCTCCTGTGGTGCCGGGTGGTGTTTCCAACTGCTGACTTACAGTTCGTTGCACAACCTGTAACCACTATGCTGCCAGGGCTCCCCTTGGTTAAGGGCACAGTTCCTGCAATACTTCAGACATCGCTTGCAACCTTGAGAGTCTGTAAGCTGCCCTCACTTCTAACCAGCTGATTTTTTTAGCCACCCAGTTTGCGGTAGTTTATAATGGCAGCAGCAGTTAATAGAAAGGTCTAAGTCAGGCCCACGATCTCACCTATCGGAGTTCTAGAAAAAGCCCAGAGAACATGCAAGTACATCATTGCAGAAACTATGGCAAATCTAATATAGCAATGAAT